GGTTGCAGGGTCTCTGCCCTTGGATATATTCAAAGCTCATCTGGATACGGTCCTGGGCAGCCTTCCACACTCATCTTGCTTTGATCTCTGGAGGTGCCTCCAGCATCGGGTCCTCACTGGTCCACACTAAACCAGGCACTGAGAGGCTGGTGGGGATCAGAGCACTTTGGGTAGCCCAGAGCCCACTACTCATCCACCTCTCAGCACCATGTGCTGCAGTTTAACATGCTTGGATAAACACCCAATACATAACAGCACAAGCATGCTTTGGAGCCTGTCCACTTTTTTTCTTTGTTTTTTTTTGGGTTTTTTTTGATTGTTAGGTTTTTTTCCCCCCAGAATTGCATAATCTTAGGGAAACGTGTCTTCTGCTATACAGATTCACAGGGAAAATCCCTCTGGTAGCTCACATTAATAATTCTCTTTCTGCCCATGCCATTTGGCACATTTTCATTTCCTTTCGATTTGATGCTGAAAATGATTGCTGAGTCAGACTCCAAAGTAAACTATGTCCCCTTCATTTTGATTATTTCACTTTCGTGACATCCTCTGTCATCATGCTGGAATTTCCCCTCAAACTTCTCCCAGCTGCCTCCAAGACTCCGTATTAAAAGGGAGCTGAATCCAGCTGCTGCAGTCTGAGCTGCATCTGCCAGAGCTTCTGGTCCTGCTCCGACTGCCCTCGTCCAAAGGGAAGATGAAGGTCTCTGCAGCTGTTTTAGCTCTTCTCCTCATTGCAGCCTCTTGCTCCCAAACTTTCTCTGGCCCAGGTGAGTCCTACTTTTTCATTTCTGAAGGAAGAACAGATCTGAGCCTTCGCTGTTTCTCCATTGAGCTCATCTGGTAGATAACTGGGAATTTTTCAGCATTTTTACCACTCTTTACTCTGCTCTGAGAACAGCTCCATGTAGGAACCCCAGAATCAGAAAATCATCCATCAAAGGCTCAGAGTACTTACTCCTGGTTATAGTTTAGGGATTTGGGGCTGGGGAAGGTGGGGAAAACAATGTTCTGAGCAATGACTGGATGGGAATGTCACCCAGAATCTGAAAATACCATTCCTGGCATTGGACCAGATGATCCCCAATGTTCATTTCAACCTTAATTATTCTCTAACTAACTCCTCACTCCTATCCCTGCCAGCGTGGCTGCCTGAGCTGATGGGCTGACTGCTGCCGACGCACAGCCCAGCACGTGCTCACATTGTCTCTCCTTGCCTCTTCCAGCTGGATCTGACCTCACAACCTGCTGCTCCAAATACACAGGCCGCAAGCTCCCGCAGAATCGCATCCAGCGTTATTACCTGACCAGCTCCAACTGCGCCCTGCCAGCTGTCATGTAAGTGCCAGCACTGATGTCTGGGTGCAGCAAGAGGGGACAGTCTCTGCGGGATGTGCCTCTATGAGTGACTGGCTCTGCAGGGTGGCTGGTGGGCACGGGGGTCTGCATGCACAGAGCAGGGTGAGGGGAATCCCAAGGGGAAAGGACTTGCACAGGAATTGCCAGGGATGCTCTTGTGGGGATGCCTAGGGATGTTCCTGCAGGAGTCGAGGAGGCAGGGTGGGGGAAAACAAAATTTCAGCACTGGAACAGGCTGCCTGGGAACGTGGTGAAGTTCCCACCCCTGGAGGTATTTAAAAGCTGTGTAGATGTGGCACTTGGGGACGTGGTTTAGTGGTGGACCTGGCATTGCTGGGTTAATGATTGAACTCGGTGATCTTAAAGATCCAGTCTAAACTTTTCTATGATTCTAAAAGGAATGGGAGTGAGGGAAATCACAGCCAGCCACTGGTTTCAGCATCAGCTTAGGGCACAGGGGAGAACCTCTTGCAATGCCCCTAAACTGAGATCCAGGCTCTCCTGGGCTGCAGGTCTAAGCAGAAATCTAATATGCCTCATCCCTGTTCTGCAGGTTCATCACAAAGAAAGGCAACTCGGTCTGTGCCAATCCCAATGATGCCTGGGTTCTAAGTTACCTGCAAAATTTGAAGCAGAACTGAGCAAAGCCAGACAGCAAGCGTAGCTGCTGTCGTGCACGAGCCACATTATCCTGAGCTCCTGTGATGGAGCACGACACTGGGGCAGCAGGAGCTGCACGAGCCCAGGTCATCTGCAGGCGCCTCTAAGGGGCTGCTGGACGGGCACCACAAGACACCTCGTGCTGGGATGCTGCTGCTTGCCCTTGGCTGGCACAGACTGGTCTGCAACCTCATCCCTCTGCGCTGATACCTCCGCCTGTGGCCTGGGAAGGCCCATGGCACTGCACTCCTTTGTTTTCATATAATGTTAAGTTATTTAAGGAATTATCATATGGGATAGGCAGTACTTCTTTCTGTGCATAACAATACTATTTATGGGAGGATGGCTCAGAATCTCAGTGTTGGATGATGGGCTGCCCTGGCTTACATGTGTGAAATCAGGATGATGGAGAATAAAGAATTTGGACAAAAGTTCTGCTTTTTTCCTCTTTGTGTGCTTCTACATGATGCTTACTGGCACAGAGTCAGAACCTCACCCTGAGTCCATCTGCACACTTTAAGTGGCATGTGATGATGGGAAATGGTTTGAGGCAAAACCATGAGGTTTCCGTACTGCAGACATACTAATATCCTCCAACACCTCATTTTCACACCACACGTACCCTCATCTCCCACATCCTCTACAGAATTAGGCATGTTTGTACGCACGTGTGGGCCTTTCACATACATGGATATGCTCTCCACACACCCCCAGCTCATCCCATGTGCTTGCTCGCTGCTCCTAGCCCCATATCCCAGACTGGTCCCTGGGCACGCTGTGTGTGCAGTGGGGTGGTGATGGACACGTCGCTGTAAGAGGTAAAATCCTGCCAGAGGCTTTGAGAGAGGAGAGAGCAGGGAAAGCAGCTCATGGTTGGATGGGAGGAACCACAGAATCATAGAATAGTTTCGGTTGGATGAGACCTTCAAGATCATTGAGTCCAACCTTTGTCCTAGCCCTATCAACACACTATTGATAGGGCTAGGGCAGAGGGCAGAGGGCATGGAGCTGCTGCGGTGCTGGGGCAGCCCTGGGAGCTGGCAGGTACCTGGGGCTGAGGAGCTACTCATCTGCCCTCGTGCCGAGGGTGCTGGGTGGCAAAGCAGGGCCAACTCCCTGCCTGTACCCATCCTTGCTAGGCATTTCTGCCAGCTAAGGAGCAGCATTGCCCAGCACAGAGCCCACAGACACCCACATGCTCGCTTCCATCTCTCCTCACACTCAAAGGCATCACCCCATCTCTGCCCACCGGCCCCTGTGGGCAGCTGGGTCCTTCCCCGCCCGGCAGCACTGCCCAGAGACGGGCAGGGATCCAGCTTTCTTTCTGACCACCCGGATGGGGATTGTTCCTTGCTTTCTCATCTCTAAAACAAAGGGAAGGGTTCAGCTAGGCTACAGAGTTAAAACAGCCACCAGCAAACCTGCTGCGGTCATTCCCAGGATGCTGCTTTGTGTGGGAACCTGAGTGGGAGGGAGGGAATGCCAAGGGTGAGAGCAGGTGATAATGATGCGCTGGGCACAGCTCGCTCCCTCATTCAGCGCTCCTCTGCTTTGGCATACTGAGAAGAAATGGCCCCGGCAGCACCGTCACCCAGAGCTGGCCTGGCCTTGCAGCCATCCTGTTCCAGTGGCTGTTTCTTCTTAATGTAAAAAAGAAAAAAACAAAAAACTTTCTCTTCTTGTTTTGTTTCCTCACCCCCACCACCCTGCAGCTACAGATCACACTTGGCAACCTTGAGGCTGGGAAAGCACCTTCACATTGTCTTCTGATTTCCCTTTAGTCTTGTGTTTTCCAGGCTGGAAAACAGGCAGGAGGGCTCATTAGAGCAGCATCTTGGCAAAGGGCAGACCCAGCCCAGGCACCATTCTTTTTCCCAGGAGTTGGTGCTGGAGATGCAGGGCTCCTTTCCAACACCCTGGGGACGGGTCCTGACCACTCTGTTGGGAGGATGGTTTGGGAATGATCCCTGACAGGGTCCCCGTGCTCCCCTGGCACAGCAGGGTCCTAGCAGAGGTCCAAGCAGGGGCAACGGGAGATCAGTATGTTTGCAAAAATCTTGTCCCACTCCGTGGCCAGGACTTACTGTAGTGGGGGACAGACAAAAAATTTGCAGAGAGGTGTATCCTGAGCAGGGCTTCCCTACTGTGCCGTGAAGTACAGGAGCAGAGAGTGGCCACGACATGGTGGGGGGGATGGACAGGAGCTGCTGCCTGCAGGAGCCTGGGAAGGGGGTGCTGGCTGTCTCCTCTACCCCCGAGGGCCATCCCAGCACCCCAAGAGGTTGAGTTTGGTGCTGTAGAGGAACTCCAGAAGCTCAAAATAGTTCCTGATCCAGGGCTTCATGTGCTGCATGGGGATGAATGTCGTGATGAGAGGGCAGGCTTGGGGGGTCTGAAGTTTACTCCAGGTCTGGGGTGCAGGCGACAAACTTGAGAGGCAGAAGGACTTGACGATGCAGCTGGCTCTTCTCTGGACAGTCCCTGGCTGGGAGCCCAGACGTGTGGCAATTTTCCTCTCCAGGCTTTCTGGTTTCAATTTCCATTCTGAAGCTCCAGGAGCAGCAGCCAAGCCAGCCTGTTCCAGGAACCCTGCTCCTCCTACCCCAGACCCATCTTCCCAGAGCAGGAGCCTCTGTGTGGGGACCATGGCAGCTCAGCCTGGGGGTCCCACCTCTCTCTGCCCTGCCTGGCTGTCCCTACTCACCCATGGGGATGGGGATGGGACTGGGGATGGTAAAGGGGATGGGAATGGTGAGGGGGACAGCACTGTGGTGGAGGTCTGTAAGAGCAAAGGAGAAATGGGAGCCTCATGCCTGCTGCCAGCTCTGGGCAGGTGAGGGCAGCCAGGAGGACAGGCTGGATCAGTGCTAAGCACAGACATGTTCTGTAGCTCTACTTAGCTCCTGGTGGGAACATGAAGGTCTCTCTGGTTGAACCTTGTTGCTCTCCTTATTGCTTCCCTCTGCTCCTTATCCTGCTCTACTCCAGGTGCATCCATCTCTGTCTTTGTGTTCTTTATTTCCTCTCTTGGAGGAAGAAGAGCTCGTGGTGGTGACCTGTAATGCCTTAGGAACAGGCATGATCTGCTCTGACTCCTTGGTCTGGAGCGTGGGTTGCTGGGAGTGCTCATTCTGTGCTGGTCATGCACAGTCACGTTGGATCTCCTCCTGGTCATGTGGATTCAGCCCTGAACCCCAGATCTTCTCCCGCTGTACCTGACACAGCTGTGTGCTGCTTCACATGCACTTGGCAGAAGCTTTCCAGGAACTACATGAAAGGATTATTTCTACATCATCAGCTGATGCCAGCAGCCATCTGTTGTGTGGGTATTGGCTGTTGCCCATACAAGAAGCCTTTGGCTCAGCTCCAGAAATCTTTCTCCCTCTTGGGACCAAGAGTAGGACTTGTTGGGGTGTTATCTGGGATTGGCCATGACTCACTTCTGGCAAGGAGAGATGCTTTCCAGTTGCAAAGAGATGGCTGAGGAGGACCTACCCACGCTGACGCTGGCGTGAGGACAGTGGAGGAAGGATGGGAGGTTGCCCCTGGAATTCTGTGGGGTTCAGCTGCCCCAGTATGGCTGAGAAAGAGTTCCCAGGCGAGGTTTCTGGTGTGCAGCAGAGAAAGCCCCAGAGGGTGCTTCCCCAGGAAACACCAACCACATGGTCTGCAGTGGCCACTTGAGTTTGTGGTCCCTTGTCCTTCTCCCTGCCCACAGGAGCCAGCAGCAAGTCAAGGCAGAGCCAAGAGGTTGGCTCAGGGACCTCCTCTGGTTTCTCAGTGCCTCCTCTTGGCTTCTGACTCCACATCAAGCAAGAGGTCACAAAAAGGACATTCTCCAGACCTGGTGGGAACTCGGTGCAGCTCTGTGGTTGTGCACCTCATCCTCACCACAAAGGTTTCCTGGTCCTCCCCACTTCCCAGCCTCACCACCAGGAAGAAACACCAGGTCTGTGCTGACCCTGATGCCATCTGGGTGAAGGCATTTGTGAACTTTCTGGGGACACATGGAGATGGCCACCCTTGGCTTGGTCCCACAGTTCTCCAACTCCGGCCCCTGGGAGCCCAGGTCCAGCTCTAGCTTCTTTCACTCTTCTTGCAAAGGAAGCACTGATGAGCACTGTTTGATTATTCTCATGTTCAGGAAGACCTGGCTGATTTTATGCCCCTTCCCTGCTTCCCTCCACTGCCGAGCTGTGCAGGGTTGCAAATCAAAACTTGGTACCTCTCCCCTCCTGCTGAAACCCTTGGGCTTCTTTGAGAGTTGCTCTGGGGTGTCCTTCTTCTACCCTGAGGGAAGGGAGATTTCAAGTGCCCTCCCCCACTGCAAAGCTTCAGCAGCAGAGAGGTCAGACCCAGCAGTTTCGTTCTCTACCTACAAAGACATCAGCTAACTTCAGATGCAAACCATGGGCTGACAAAGTGCTTTTGTCAGTTTTACTTGGTGCAAAAGATCCCCCGTGCTCTTTTAAACCAGATTGAGGTTTCGTTCCTAAAGCAGCTAGAAGAACAGCAGATACTTGGTGCCTGGTTTTTTTCAGCAGAACACTAACCCAGCTTACCCGGAGCTGAGCACAGCTCAGGCTGCCTCTGCCGAGGAGCTTGTGCTGGAGATGTGGTCCCTGACCACCCTCCCTCGAGCTCATGGCAGCAGCGCTGCTGCATCCTCACCCTGTGATTGCCAGATGTCCCTTTGCCAAATTCGCACTGGAGAACGCGGTGGGTCTAGCTCAGCCAGCTCCTGGCCTTGCCCCTTGTTGTGACAGAGGGGAAAAGTGCTGGGGGAGAGCTCTGGCTCTGCAGCAGCATGGAGGCTGGAAGGGAAGAGCCCTGGGAAAAGCTGGGGTGGTGCTGGGGCTGCTGCCACAGTGCTGGGAGCAGGGGGGCGATCAGAAAGGAGGATTTTTAGGGCTAAGGAGGCTGAGGCATTTCCAGCTGGGAAGTTTGGTTTCTTCCCCTGCCTCTCCCAAAATAGTTAGAGTGGGATGCTATCGACCCTGTTTTTATCAGGCAAGAGGGCAACAACATCTTCCAGAGCTGACACAGAGAGAAAAAGAATATTTATTTTTTGACGCCAGCAAGAGATAGCATTTTGAGAACAAGGTTGAACAACGTGGTTCCAGGATGAGCATCCTGCAAGTAACCAGTGTACCACTTCCTCGGCTGAGGAGACAGATCTTACCCACAGCATCTACCGTACCATGGCGAAATTCAGCCAGTTGACTTGGCAGTCAGCCTGGGTTTATGTGACAGCACTTACACCTGATGTTGACAGACCATTTCCCACCAATTGTACTGGGGATAAAATCCCTCTCCCATTCTAGCAGCAGAGGAACAAGAAGGGGAAGGGTGAGCCCCACGATGTGCAGCAGGCTACACCATGATGGGTCTGCAAGGCCAGGAGGTCCCCAGCATCACAGCTACCTCTAAGAGGGGCTAAATTATCACAGATAAATAACAAAAGAAATGTCATGGGTCCCAAGGTGGCTCAGCAGGCCTTCGTGCTCAGCAGCAGGATTTCCAGGTCTGTGCCAAGACTCTGCTGGATGGTCTTGCAGGACTTCTCCAGGGCAGAGACCTCTCAGCTCCCAGTGCTCACTGCAGCTCCAAGGAGTTCACATAATCCTTCACCCACCTGGCATCAGGGTTAGCACAGACCTCCCGGTTCTTCCTAGTGACGAATCTGCCAAGTTAGGTGAGAGATGTTAGAGCTCTGAAAGGGGAAAGCGGCAGGAGGGCCTTGGGTCACCTTCTGGGCAGACACTGGCCTGCCCTGGCATCAGAGACAGCTCCCAAGGGGATCGTCTCCCCTCCAGGCTCCCACGCCACAGCCCCCCAAGCATCAGGGTGCTGCAGAGCCTGCTAAAACCCAAAGGGCAGGGAGAGATCAAGGTCTCCTGGGAGAAACCCTCCCATGCTCAGATGTTCCTGGCCATGTTCAGTGCAGAGGTGTGCTGGTACATCAGGTGCGAGTCTTGCAGGTGGCACACTACGTGCATTGGGCTCATCACCACTGGGAGGTCCTGCTGCCTATGCAAGGACCTCCTTCTCACACCTTGATCCCAGCATCAGGATGGCTCAAGGAGACTAAGGAGACCACTCATTTCTCAGCTGAGGAGGATGAGTACCCACATGCTCTGCATGGGACGTGTGGTGGCTGCCCCCTTCCCTTTCTCCGGGTATGGTTCCTCACACTGTCATGCTCTTGGCCCCATCAGATGTGAAGCAAAGAGCTCAAAGGCTGGCAGAGCCTTTCCTTGGAGCCCAGAGCAGGAGCTGGTACTTACACAACTGCTGGCTTTGGGCACAGGCTGCTGGTGTAGAAATAATCCTTCACATGGCTCTGGGGCAGCTTTCGCAAGCTGTAGTTGAAGCAGCACAGGGTTGTGTCAGCCCCAACTGGAAGAGATGAGGAAAACCAGCATGAGTCTATCATCACCCAGTAAACTGCACATTCCCCAGCCCAGAGCACAGACAACCATCCACTTAATCAGCTCTTTCCTCTTCCTGTTCCCCCAGAAAGTCAGCAAGGAATTGCTGTGAACACCAAAGCTGAATTACGGTCGTTGCTAAGATTGCATATTAAATGTTTTGCCCTCACTTCCATGATAACAATCCCTTCAGTCACCCTAAGACCACTCCTAAAACCCAGCAACAAAATCAGGGGAGCTAAAATCTGAAAAAAAAAAATAAATCAGTATTTATCCCTAAGTATCAGATATTTATCCCTAAGATAAGTATCAGATATTTATCCCTAAGATAAAAGGATACCAGAATGGAAGACCAATTCCAAGAGATCAGAAGAATCTATTCACACAGGTTTGCAACATTTGCAGCCAACTCTTTCCAGTTCTGCTTCAAAATCACTGCCAGCCAGAGCAAAAATCTACCCCGAGAGAGCAGAGAGAGGTGCTGTACTCACTTGGAGAAGGAAAAGCCTGAGAGAAGAGGGCAGCGACAAGGATGATGGAGATGCCCATCGCGGAGATGTTCATTGTGGACAGAGATGAGCTGCAAGGGCAGAGGCAGGACCAGAGCAGCTTCTTCCTGTGTCTGATGCAAGGGGCAGGCTCCGTCCTTGCTTTTTATGGGGACGGTGACCACCCCCCCTCTGTCAGATTTCAAGACACACTCTTGGAGTTTCCGAAGCGTAACAGAGCTGATGTCATGGCACCTTCGCCTCAGAAATGCTGAAAAAAAAGGGAAATGGCAGGTCTAGGAAGTACCAGAATAGCCTTTGTGTGAGGTGAGGCAAGTGTGAGCAGATCAGTACCCACACGAGGGCTGTATGGACCAAGACAGGATATGAAACCACCTTTGAGACACAGGTTCACACTTGCATTCCCCAACATGACAGCAGTACTCATCAAACTCATCTCAGCATCCTCGACAAGGCTGACCAGGAGGACCTCAACTCAGTCTCCTTTCTGAGGACCCAGTGCTTGAGTATAAAGGTGCTCAAAAAAGGCTTGGGAAGAGTGCAGGTCCATCCGGGGGGTTCTTGCTCCCGTGGAGGGTCTGGGACATGCACAGGGGGGATGTGGGGGAGCAGTGAGGGCAGCACGGGCAGCAGGCAGCTGCCTGCATGGGCAGCAGGGATGGCTGGCACCCTAGACACCGGCTGTAGAACTGGGCTGGCGGTCTTGGCACCATAAAACACAAAATTAGCAGTGCTGTGCTTTCCATTTGCAGTTCAGGACCTCCAAAACCCTCCTAACACATTCCAGCATCAGCTGGTAAGGGAAGTGATTGCCTGGGCAAGCCCGGCTCGATGGTCTAACTCTACCAATATCATCCTCTCCTAGACACAAGGGGCAAACACAGGTGCCAGCGTGGGTTTGGCACAAGGTGGGATGTGGAACCAGGAGGTCCCCTGCCCAGGGGGTGGAAAGGGACCAGCTCTCGTGCAAACACATCCCCTCATGCTCCCGCACACGCTCACAGTCATAGGGGTCATGATGTGGCCTGTCCAGAGCTCCCCAGCACTGTCCTTGCCCCAAGGTGATGGGCTTCTCAAGGCAATGTCCCCAGGACCCGTTTCCCCTTTTTTCACCTCCCTCTTCTCTGTCACAGCCATCAAATTTGCCAGCTCACAGCCTGTGGTTTCTCTGGGTATTTTCATGGCCGGCTCCCAGTGAGAAGTGCTGTTCACGAGGCACCACGAGCTTGTCTCCCTGGGATTCACTCGCTGTGCCCTGCAAGTGCCAGCAATGCAGCGGGGACTGCAGGGCAGTGCTGCTCTGCTCACACCCTCCTCCTCCCCTGCCACATCATGTGGGTCTCTGTGGGGCCCTTGGAGACCTCCTTGTGCCTGGATGTATTGGGGCTGCTTCTCCACAGTGTCCCCTTCACCCCAGTGTCCCCACTGGTGGGGACCAGTGCTGCAGGAGGGTCCCTGGGGGCTGTGCCAGGGACCTTGCTGGGGTGGGCAAGAGTCCCTGGCTTTCCCAACTCATCTTCCCAGGAGGCATCCTCATGGGGCTGGGGGTGGTGGTGTCCTGGGGACCCTGAGGACTCCTGCCTGCAGAAGCACATGAAGAATGTGGAGCCGAATCAAGGGGCTGCCACCACAGGGTTGTCACAAACACTCGATGGTGGCATTTTGGGGCAGCAGGGAAACACGCTGGCAGGTACTCAGGCTTTGCAAGGGACAAAATCTCACATGGAATTTGCTGAGGAACATCCCAGGCTGGGAGATGGGGAGTAGGATTATTTATTGCTACTTCTGTACCACATATACTCCAGTATGGCGATTAGCCTGTTGTTCTGGCTAATTCATGTACGTGTTGCTTGTGCTCCAGATCCATGTGGGCAATATGTCTCAGCCTCATCTCCTTGCTACAACAGCAATTGCATTTTGTACTGAGCCTTGACCTGTCCCTGCTGCCCCAGGGCTGATCCTAGGGCTGAGACTTCTCTTCTGAAGAAGCAGTGCCTGTAGAAAATAAGTTTTTCCATCCCCGCTACATGCTTATGCACACTTCTGGTCTCCAATATGCCGTTCCTGGGCTGCATTGCTTCTGTGTTGCATTTGGTGGGGGGGGCAATTCCTCGTGTCCTGCTATTGGACTTGCAAGTGAACCTGTTTTGGAGTGCCCAGATCTGCTGTCAGAAGAAGGAAACTGTTACAGTCTATGACAAAATATCTGGCAGGTCCAGATAGAGATCTAAGAAACCACAGGATGATACAGACACTTCCCCAACCGCAAGGCTGTCGGAGCTCACGCTCTGATAGAGCTTGCAGACGTAACCGAAACCATGACATCTGCATATCTTTCTGAAAGTTCAGGGTGGCTGTGCCTCAGCCCAACACAAGTCCCTCTTCCCCCATGCCCGAGAGACAACATAGTCCTGTCTCACCATCGCACACCCCAGCCTTGCCCCTTGCTCAGGAGATTTGGCCCTGTGCAGGTTTTTGGAGGTGTATTCTGCAGCCCTGCCCATCACAGCAGAGGTGCCAGAGCGCTGGAGAGATGCTGCACCCTTCATCACGGCTTAATCCTTGCTCCAGGTCAGCTCTTGCAGCAGGGTGATACTCGTACCTGGTCTCCTTCTCCAAAGCTACCCACTGCCTCCCTTTGCCCTCTCCTGCTCATTGCAATGAAAATCCTCAGGAAAACACTGTGACAAAAGCAGCAGCAGCAGCCGCGACCCACCAGACATTGCGGAGAAACCTGGTCAGAGATCAGGACATCGTGGGGACAGGGGAGCTGGATGCCAGGTGTCCCACCGTGACCCCAGACCATGTCACGGAAGGGCTGCAGAGGGGACTAAGAGGCCATACTCACATGGAGAGGGGAGGTGCACTGGACCTTTTAGGGGGCTGCAAGGGACAAGGCAGGCAAGGAGGAAGTTTCCCCACTCTGTGTGCACCAACCCCTGCAAGACAGAGAGAGATTTGCTCTCTGTCCGTTTGCTTCCTCTCCCAAACTCACACGAGCATCCAAGGAGCACCGGGCCCTCTGCCGTCTTCTGCGGGAAATGTTCTGGAGCCCTTTCTGTCACCTCCGCCTGGGTCAGGGCTCACACATGTGCTGCGGTGCTTCCTTCCGGCAGGGCTGGGGCTCCCCAGGGGGCGGGGCGGGCCCCCTGCCGGCACCGGGCAACCCTGCACCCCCCCGTGTCACCCTGCGGGTCCGTGATCCTTCCCCTTGGGGCTAAGTCTGGACGTGCTAGCTGCTGCAGGCACCAGCGACACCTGCACTGTCACCTGGACCCCGGGCTCTCCCTTGGGGCAGCACCCAGTTGTGGTACCCAAACTGGTAGCAACCCCCTGAGGAGTGTGGGGGGGGGCAGTTCAATCGTCTGT